CATTTATTTGAGAACTAAAAGACAAACCACCTAACTACAGAGTAAAAAATACTGTAAGCATGGGACCCAAACTATAAGAACCCAAACTTAAAAATGTGCATATTAAGAAGGCAGGCTAGGGGTGTGGAGAGGAAGCTAGGAAAATTAGTGGAGGAAAGTTGACAATGGTTGTGAGGTTATTGTTGGAACACTGTATGCCATAAACTCTATTATGACAACTTTGTACATTACTGTGCTTTAATAATATATTTTTTTCTCAATGGAAACAACCCTGAGGTACAATATAGTAAATAATACTGTGACGAGATTTAAGTCATCAAACTGTCAAAAGTGAAAGATAAAGAATGAATAGTAAAAGCAGTAAGAGAAAAAAATGTAATGGATAAGAGGTTGGTGAAGCAGATCACTTCAAGAATCTCAAAGCTGTTCCAACCTGGCATAGATCAGTTCAAGTTGACAGCAATGAAGACTGCGCTGGAGGCTAAGAAGCTTTTGCCTTTCCTATAATCTTTTTTTCCTACCCCTAATCAAAGAAGTTATCACTGATCCTTTTCATCATCTAGAAGTATATAGTTTGTGAGGTATCAAACAAGTCGTCTCTGAGAAACCTATATTTATGTTGAAAGCAAAGATAAAGCCATTAACTCCATGTCATGTGAAATCCCCATCTCTCTCCGCAGCACACTGGTCCCCCTTATTCACTGGTTTGGTATTTCCATCCAGTTCTTGCTAACTGAAATTGGAACCTGCATCATCATTGTAGCTCCCCTGTGTGCTTGTTATTAAACCAATCCTTTTCCTCAGTACCCCAATAGGGTCCTAAATATGATTAGTAGCTAATGACTCAACAGAAACTACAGGAGTCAAGAAGAAACTTACATGACATATTTGATGTGTTGAAAGAGAGAGATGGACAAGAAATGAAAGTAGAACAAAAAGAGTATTTTAAAGAAAATCAAGACAGTTCAAGGTAATATAAACCAATAAAATCAATTGTCAGAAGAGCTTTCCCATGAGAAAAACTATAAGGAGCCCTTTCATCTGAAACAAATGAATATTATACAATAACTCAAATTCTCATTCAAAAAGAGCACTAATAAAGTAAACTACATAGATTTTTAAAAACAGCATAAGTATTCTTGTCTTTATAAATCTTTTTCTTGTCCTGTCTGATTTTAAAGAATAAAGACAACTTCATAAAACAAGAATTATAAGACTACTTTGATGGGCTTAAAACTATGAAGGTGTAATTTGTGTAACAATAGTAGTATAAAGGGAAACAGAGAGCAGAGCTAAATGAGTACAAAGTTTTTGAGTATTAAAGAAGTTGGGATTAATATAATTTGTTAATTATAATCCCTGGTGAAAGTATTAAGAAAAATTTAAAATAGCAAATTAATTGAAAAGATGTCTAAAACTATTAAACTTAAATAAATGGCAACTAGAGGGAAAAGATATGACACATGCAGAAAATAAATAGCAAAATGAGATGTAAATCAGACACTAAATATATTAAATATAAATGAACTAAGTATTCCATTAAAAACATTGGCGACTCTAAGAATGGATTTCTCAAGATATGAGTTTTTTCAGGTTTCTCAAAAACTATTTGCTGTATTACAAATTTAAACATCATATTTCAAAATAGATTGAATGTAAAAGGATAAAAAAAGCTAGTCAGTGCATAAAAGAAACAAAGCAGGGTGGAATTTTAGAAATCTGAGTATATTTTTCCCTTTGGCAAGTCTAGCTAAAGGATTGTGAATTTTGTTGATCTTTCCCAAGTTCACTAATTTTTGCTATAATCTTCATTATTTCCTTTCTTCCCCTTTGTCAGGGCTTAATATCTATTTCTATATATATGACAATATGCATATTAGAGCAGACATAAGTTCAAAGCAAAACTGAGAAGATGGTACATAACACTTCAATGTCACCCAACATCCATGGTTTACATTTTAGTTCACTTTTGAAGTTACACGATACGCAAGTCTGGACAAATCCTTGTAGGTTTTTTTTTTGTTTGTTTTGGCACCATACATGGCGATGCTCAGGGTTACCCCTGGCAGTGCTCAGAGGAATATATATATATATATATATATATATATATATATATATATATATATATGAGCCAGATTGAACCAAAGTTGGCCACGTGCAAGGCAAGTGCCTTACCTAGTGTACTATGTTCCAGCACCTTGTAGTTTCTTAAGTTAGGCTTTTTGTGATTTTCTTCTTTATTGATATTGGTGTTCGTAGCTGTAAGTATTCCGCTACCCCCAGAACAAGGCTTCTTATCCTTCTTTGACTCATAACCCCTTTTCATCCAAGAAATACAATAATGAGTGCTGTCAAGTACAACTCAGATTCATTACATGGTTGATTTTGAACTCATTTTTGGTCACTGCACATTCAGAAAACTTTTACTGTTGCCATTTTTTTTCGCAACCACCAGGGATAGCAACCCACAGTTTAAGTAGGCCTTCATCCTACTTAAACTGTATCCATAAGTTTTGTTTTGTTGTGTTTTATGTTTATTCATCTCAAAGTATTTTAATTTCCTCATGGCTTTAATTTTTCACTATTAAATGTGATGCTAATTAACACAAATAAGACTAACTGATTTCTGTCAAAAACGCAAAGACAAATGAATTGAGACAGGATATGCCTTTGAACAATTGGTGCATTCACAGGTCAAAATGTGAATATTAAATCAAACCGTACACTTAATATTAACATCGAGTGAAAATGGATCATTAGACATAAGTATAAAATATGCAACTATAAGATGTCCCAGAATACAAAAGGAAAAGTTAATCATCTAGTATTTCAAGGAAGAAAGAAGTATGACCCACAAAAGAAATTTTTCATGAATTGGATTATATTGACATTTAGCACATTTTCTCAATGTACAAAAGACATATATCGAAAACTACAAAATGCTACTGAAAGAATAGTACAAAGATATCTTTTGCTCATGAAGACATAATACTGTTAAGATGTCAATACTAATCAACAGATTTATTGTAATCCCTATCAGTGTAATCTGAGTAATAGCAGATATTGAATAAACCAGCCTAAAATTCATATGCAATCTATAATCTTTTTAAAAAAGAATATAATTGAGTTCTTGAAGTTCCTAATTTCAAAACTTTCTACAAAGATACAGTATTTAAAAGTGTGAGAGCAGTATTAAAACAGATACTAATAAAATAGAGAACCTAGAAAAGACTCTCAGATATACTGTGAATTATTTTTTGGAGAAAGTGTTAAGACCATTAAATGGAGAAAGAACATCCTTATCTAAATGTAGTAGCAGGAAAAGTGGACACAACTATGAGATAATTGAAGTTAAAACCTTACCTTATGCCATATATAATAGGGAACTCAAAATCAATCAAAAACCAAAATATAAAAAGTAAAACTATAAAACTCTCAGAAGATAACATAGGAAAAAACTTTATGACACTGGACTTGGCAATAATTTCTTTGCTATGACATCAAATGCACATGCGAAAGAAGTAAAAAAAAACACGTTTGACTTCATCAACAGTAAAAACTTCTGTGCACCAAAAACAGTATAAACAGAGTGAAAGGACAGCCCAAATGGGAGAAAACATTTGCAAATAATATATCTGACAAATGACTAAAATCCAGACTATACAAAATATTCCTACAACCATTCAACAATTAAGCAATACTTTTTAATGTAGAAAACTTTTTTCTACATTAAAAAAACTTTTCTTTAAAGAATATAGGTAGATTATCAAAAAAGCACATGAAAAGATGCTCAGCACCACTTGTCATTAGGGAAATGCAAACCAAACCATAATGAGAGACCAGTTTACACCCATTTGGATGTAGAATGTAAAATTTTTTTTAAAAAAAGCAAATCACAAATGTTGACAGGGTATAGAGAAACTGAAACTCTAATGCAATACTGGTAGGAATGTACAATGGCATTATCTATGGAAAATAGGAAGGTGGTTCTTCACAAAAGTTAACACAGAATCACCATATATTCCAGCAATTCCAACTGTGGGTATACAGTCAAATTAACTGAAAGAGGGACTCAAAAAGATACTTGCACAGCTAGGTTCACAGCAGCATTATTTACAATAGCCAAAAGGCAGAAGCAACATAAGTGTCTATTAGCAGACACATGAATAAATAAAATGTGGTGGATACATAAATGAAATATTATTCAGCCTTAAAAAGGAAGGGAATTCTGACACATGCTATATTTTGGATGAACCACTGAAGACATCACACTAACTGAAATTATGCCAGGCACCGAATAGTATATGCTTCCACTGATAATGAGATTTGCAGAGACAGAAAGGAGAATGATGGTCACCAGAAGCTGATGAAATGGGGGGTTAGGTTAGTATTAAAGGCTAGATAGAAAACTTCAGTTTGGGAAGATGAAAAAATTCTGGAGATGGAATATGATGATGTCTGCAGAAAAAAAGTAAATATACTTACTGCCAAAGAACTGTATGCTTAAAAATAGTTAAAAGCATCAATTTTATGTTAGGTATATTTAGCCATAATTTTAGAAAGTGTACTCTGCAAAAGACACTTCCACATTAATGAAGACAAGCTGCTGACTGTGATAAAATATTTGCAAATCATATATCCAACTGAGAATGTTTAGAATATATAAAGAACTCTCAAAAGTTATCAGGAAGAAAATAAACAACCCAATTTTAAAAAATAGGAAAAGATCTGAACAGACACTAAAGCACACAAGATATAAGGATGGCAGGTAAGCATGTGAAAAGATGTTTAACACCACTAGCCACTACAAAAATGCAAACTAAAATTGCAATGAGATATCACTTCACATCTAGAAGAATAACTAAAATAAATACCAACAATACCAAATGCTGACAGAAATGCAACTGGGATTCTCATACATTGCTGCTGAAAATGCACAATGGTTTAGCCACTCTGGATAATGGTTTGGGAGTTTCTTAAAAAGTTAAACATACACTTACCATATGACCCAGTAATCCCACTCCTAGATATTTTACCTTAGAAAAATAAAAATTTGTGTTCACACAAAAACCTGTACAGGAATGTTCATAGCAATATTACTCATAATCACCATAGCCTGGAAACAACCAAAATGCACTTCAATGGATGGATAGACATACATGTTACTCAGAAAAATGAATGGACTAGTGATACACAAAACTTGGATGAATCTCAAAGTCATTATATTGAATGAAGGAAGCCATCTCAAAAGATTATAGAATATAAAAGACAAAGCTATAGTGATGGAGAGCAGATCAATGATTGCCAGAGATTATGAATGGGGTTTGCGGATCACTAAAAATGTATAGGATGAGGGACATTTAGGGTGATGGAACTGTTCTGTATCCTGATAGTGGTCATAGTTACATGAATTAACATGGTAAACATGCTTTACAATTCACAGAAGTTTACACCAAAAAAATCCACACACAAAACAGGCAATTTATTCTAGATTCATTTCAAAAGTAAACTACTAGTGTATAATAATCATCAAATATCTATGCTTTACTGATTAATAAAAAATACTCAGAATCAGTTGTGAATTAGGATCTAATATCATTAAGGCTATTTTATGGCTGGCACAGTAACTTAAAGGTATAGAGAAAAAAATCAGCAACACTAAATGTTAAAGTTTTACAACTTTTAACTCCTCTCCTTAATTGTCTATATATCAGGATATGATTCTTTTTGTATAGTTTCCTATAAACAATGTCATATACTGATTATGGAATTAAATAAGTGCTCAGCTTAGAAGTTTGGGACCCTAGGTGACATTCCTAAAACTAACACTGTAAGAAAACTCTCAGCTTGCCTTCTTTTGTGCCTAGTTTTATCTTCCTATTCATTGAGCTCATGTACTTGTCTGCATTTGTCTTTATGTGGAATGCTGTGAGGGTTTAAGGCAAGGAGTTTCAAAGATAGGAAACAGAACAGGTTCATGCACCCCCCAAACCCATAAACACTGTGCACTTAATGTGATTTTTGCATGTATTGTTTCACTCAATCCTTAACAACCCTATGATACAGCTGCCATTAATATTCTATCATTTTACAAATAAAGAAACTGAAGCATAGGATGGTGCCTCAGAGCTAGTAGGTAGGGAAGCCTGGATTTCCCCAGAAGCCTGCCATTTCCCAGCAGAATACATGTTATCCATACCTTCCTTCAGCACTGCTCTTCCATGTCTAAGATCTCTGTATAATAAAAGAGTCACTCATACTCACATCTTTACCTACCAAGCACAGATGATTCCCAATTCTATGCATCTAACTCTGGCTTCTCATGAGCTTCACTGCTGTATTTCCAACTATCTGACATCAATAACTACATTGACAATTTGCCATCCTCAAAAAACCACATATTTAAAATTCAACTCATCATCTTTCCTTAAATTTTCACAATAAGGCTCTCTTCATTTTACCAACTATTAAGTCACACAGTTGCAAAACTTTGGGCTTATCTGTCAAACATTCCTATCTGTTGACTTTCTTTCATTCTTGTCACCAAGTTCTCAATTCATCATTCTGTTAAGACCATACCTATCTCTCTTTCCAAATCCACTGTCATAATTCTAGTTGAGAATTTTTTTGCATGATGCACCAGTGATGTTGTAAAGGTTATGAAGTGCTGGAGCTAGAATATGAGACCTTGTATATACCAGGCATGCACTGCAGCCCTTTGAGCTATCTCCCTAGCATTGGTTCATATTTTTATGCCTAAATCACATAATACCTCCTAAGTCTTCTCCCTGTTTCCAATTCTTCCTCTTGTTCGTTCAATTTATTGTCCACCAGATTAATCATTTTCAAATATTGCTTTTATCATGTTACTCCTGGCTCAAAAAGCCTACAACTACATTCAAACTAGCAGGATTAATAATTCTGTATGGTCTTAACTGCCCACAAAATAAAGTTACAAAAAATTTAGCTGTCTCTCCCACAATTGCCGCAAACACACGATAGTGCTCACACCATCTGCTGCAACTGAAATGCCTTTCCCTCTCCTTCCAAAAGAGGTAGTATTAAAAGAACATTTAAATCTCACCTCCAAGCGCCCTTTGGTAATGCCAATGCACAGTGGCCTTTCCTTCCTCTGAACTCATGGCACCTAACAACTATATTTAATGCCACCACTAAATGTTACATGTTTCCTTTTCCAACCAGTCTGCAATTGACAAAGGAGTCATTTCTTACACTTCTGTGCAGCTGTTTTCTACTTCCTGCCACACAGACCTTTTCAACGTTCCCTAGACACACCAGGTTCTTTCACAATCCTGCTATTCAACACACCATCTGCAATGCCCTCTCCACTTATTTTGCTGAAAAAAAATGCCTGTTGATCCATCAAGACAGTGAAAATGTCAACTCCTTACTCCCCCAACTAGCCTTTGATGTTTTATGTTCTGTGTTTCCTCAGCACTTGACTTAGCCGCTTCCATGTGTTACCGCAATAGTGTACAGATATGTCTCTCTCATGGGATTATACATTCCTCTAGAGTAGTGATAATTTGTCCTTTTCCTACTCTTTCACTAACTTTGTATTTAACATATTAATGCTCTTCCTTTCAGTTAAAGAAAATATTCAATTCTGTGGCAATCACATACCTTGATAATAAAGAGCTTTAAGGAAGGAGTGACGGTCAGCACCCTGAAATAAAGACTTTTCTATTTCCATTTCTCGCCTGGTTAGCTGTTTGCTCTTTGAAAATCTCTGTGGTAGGCAAAGGATGCGCTGACGCTCTGAGATCCTTTCTTCAATATCTTGAAGACGGTTTTGTATTGCTTCAGGTGTTGCCCTCAGTCGTGTCCTCTGAAACAAAAGAAATGAGAAGCCATATATCACAGAAGATACACCCTAAGAATGATCTGAAGCCTCAAATAAGAAAGATGATGAAGGGCTAGAAAAGAATAGTTTCTCCTATACCCAGATCTATCCTAAAAAAAAAGAGACTGACATAATGCTGTTTTGTGAGATCCAAAAAAAGAAAAGGTTCTCAACGCCAGTTGAATTTCTCTCTCTCTTTTATCCAGAAGAAGATAAAACTGCCCAACTCACCTTTTCCCCTGAAACATGGCTCTTCCAAATCAATATTTCTGTTTCATTGAGCCCTAGTTCCCTGAGAGAAGCAGTTTCTTGGTCCTTCTTGTGTAGTGTCTGGAACTGAGATAAAGTCATAGTTCCAGCTGCTTCCTTCCCAAAGGGTTTATACATAGTACCAGGAGCAAAGCTCTCTTTCTTAGACACACATCTGAAAAACAAGCAAGAAAGGGAGTGAGAACATTTTCAAGTTACCACAATTCACAGAATGGAGCTCACTATATAATGGGGTAGCATAAAACTCTAACAATTTCTCTCTCATATCCTACCTCTAGGTTGAAGCTTCATAGTAATGAAATCCCCTTCATCCAGGACTAACAAATGACTGAATCAAATATTTACTGGGTATCTACTATGCATCGAACACTGTACTAGGTACTGAGAATTTAATACAAAAAGATTTGTTCAGTGAGAAAGGTGCTAGCTTAGTGCATGGCCGACCAGGGGTTAAATCCCTGGCATGTTTTAGGGTTCCCCTGAGCCTGCCAGAAGTGATCCCTGAGTTCAAAACCACCAGTGCCATTGGGAGTGGCCCAGAAACAAACAAACAAAAATTGTTTCTGCTCTTGTGGAATTAGAGTGGAAGAGAGGCAAGCAAATAAACAATGGTATGACAAGATTATAAATAATCTGTATGCATGGTTAGGGAAGACACAGAAAAGACACTTGACATACACACAACACAACATGGGAGACTTCCTAGAGGAGCAGCCACAGAAATGTCCTTCCCGATAAATAGAAGTTTAAAAAAAAACAGGGAATGTACAATATCAACCGCTAACAATCCTTCGGCCTGGAATTACAGAATTGAGAATGCCAGGTTAGTGGGGAAGTGGGTGGCAGGAAATGCTTAGCATGGACAGGGAATAAAACAAGGCCATTGATGGACGGTCTTAGGTACTTCGAGGGTGGTAAAGTGAGGCAACTGCACACTAAAACCATAAATTTTGAGACTATTATAAACAAATAAACTAAACTACCCTAATTTCTCAAAAAAGATAGTGGTGGTTGGCTGAAACCCAAGCACAAACATTTGTAAGTCTACAACTGTACCTCATGGTGTCTCACTAATAAAAAATTTTTTAAAAAGAGCTATGTTTGGAGATTCACGTTTCACTCAAATGAGAGAAAGAATCCGGAGTTCTGACCTCCAAAAAAAAATAAAAACATAAAATAAAATGACAATGCAAATGAAAAAAAAAAGATAGTGGTGGAAGGGAGTGGCCACGTTAGTTGTGAGGCAATAACTTTTGTACAACAGAATGTAAAACATTAATACTCTTCTAATCATGTCACCTATGCAATAATGGAAAAAGAAACAGAAATGAAGATGAGTTTGTCAAGGAAGGGGAGAAAATAATGCTCTATTTAGGCCTTATGTGGGGTCTGTCACTTGGAGGGATGGTTCTGATTCTCTACCTGTTTGAAAAATTAATACCTACTCCTCAATGGAGACAGAGGTATCAAGTTGATGCTGAAGGAGGCTTTTCAGCTGCCTCTCTCCTTCTGTTTCCAGCTCCTCCAGGACATGCTCATCACTCTTCACACAGCTGTTTACCCTGGAGTAGGCACAAGAATATTATAGCATGTAGAAGAGAAAGAAAATTTCAAAGTATTGTCTTTATCTAAATTCACTACTGTTAGTGATTCCATTTGTTCAAGCACACTTCTTCAATAATCCAGTGCCTGTTTCATTCATTCCACACACTAAATACCTACTTATGCAACATGCACTGAGCTAAGTACTGATGGAAGTAAAAAATGAAGACACAGTCCTCTTCTCAAGAAGTTTGCAACTTAGGGTGAGGAAATACACACACATGTTGTGCAGGTATACAGGAAGAAGGAAAAATACAGGGAGACAGACCAGTGGGGAGAGAGGAAAGAAGTAGAGGGAGAGAGAGAATGATATAATAAAGCATACACCAAATCAGTAGAAGATCATAGAAAGGACACTTGGAACCTGGGGTGATAATGAAGGCTCTGGAATAGTAATTCTTAAACTGGAATTTGTGTGTAATAAGAGACCGGAAAACAGAGAGAATGGGTATGAAAAGACAGAACTATATTCTGGGAGATTAATGAGAAGTTCAATTTAGTTGGCGTTCATGTATGAGAGTACTAGAGATAATCTGGGAGGAACAATTAGGCTCAGATTGTGAATGCCCTCAAGTATACCAACTCAGGGATCTTAATATATAGTTATTAGAAAGAAATTCATCAGGCAGTGACACTGTGCCAGTGATGAAACCCCAATTGGTACTGTTATGCCATATGGATTAATAGGAAAGAATCACGAGTTAGAAAACAATTTAAATGTATTAAGAACAATGTAATGATAATCTAAATTGGAGTGGTAATAGCAAAATGGAGAGGAATTGTTAGAAAAGAGAGGAGGCCTTTTGAAAATAGTGGCAAAGAAGTCAAAAATAACCTCCAAATGCCAAGTTGTGTAACTAAGGTAACAATTTTTTTTAAAAAAAGGGAAGCTCAGATTTCAAAATAATGGTTTGAGAAAGGTAAATAGGCATAACTTTAAGTATTTGAGTCAACTCACTATTACAACTGAAGCTCTAGGAGAAATATTGACTGAGATGACAGTGTAAGTGACATTGGCGAAGAGGGAAATAAGAGAAAGAATTGTTGTAATAAAGAGAGGCTTAAGATGAACAAGGAAATATGGCTTTTCAAATCTCATGGAAATGATCTGAACTGTCAGGATCTGGAGTGGGGCAGGGAGACAGAAGAAAAATGATGGGGGCTGGAAAGATATCCAAAGGAACGAGTATATAAACAAATATAAAGAACACAGTGACATTTTACAGCATAGGCACTGATTAATATTAAAATGAGCTAATCCTAAGTAACTGAAAATTCTTAGTGCAAAGAAATGGCAGAACAACAAAGACAAAAGACAAAAAAAGAGTTACCTCCACGAAGAAGTATCTTCCCTAGAAAAACAAAACACCTTCTACTACCGGGGTTTATGGTGGGTATCCCTCAGAATTAGAAGAAAAATCCCCATGCTCTGAAATGTTTAGACCTATTTGGGAAAATTTTTCTTGCCCATAGTTTTAAATATTCCTTTAAGATAACTTAATTGTTATGTACAGAAGTCAAGTCTGAAGTCCTTGCTAAATTTATAGTGGTTTTCTTTTTTCTGTTTTGTTGTTATTTGGGGTTGGGGGGGCACACCCAGCAGTGCTCAAGGCTTACTTCTGGCTCTGCACTCACGGATCATTCCTAGAGGTCCCCAGGGAACCATATGGGGTGATTGAACTCAGGTCAGCTACTTGCAAGGCAAGCACCCCATTGGCTGTACTGTCTCTCAGGTCCCAGTTTACAGAGGTTTTCAAATGAATAAACCATCGCTAAATAAATTTCACCTGCAAAGGTGAAACCTGAGTGGAAAAAAAATCGAACCATGGAAAATTTCATACAATAAGCACTTATATATATGGCTGAAAATGAATGAAACTTGAAACCTTTTATTTACACACAAATTTGTATCTGTGGCATAACGACAGTGGTGGCGGGTCTTTGGCTCTTAAGTAGTGATGGAGGTGCAGTTAACTTTTTACACCAAAAGCAACAAACAATAATGCTATTGCAGCCATGTTACCTCGACTACAATTTAAGAAAAGCAATGATGGGGGACCGAAGCGATAGTACAGTACGTAGGTCGCTTGCCTTGCATATGACCAACCAGGGTTGGATACTAGACACCTCATATGGCACTCCCTGAGCCCTGCCAAGAGTGATCCCTGAGTGCAGAGCCAGGTGTAAACCCTGAGCATAGCCAGTTCTGACCCAAAGACCAAAAAAAAAAAAGAAAGAAAGAAAAAAGAAAAAGAAAGAAAGAAAAGGAATGATTGAAGCAAAATTCTGGGAAGCAGTCCCCTCTGTGAAATGGGAAGATGAGGTAATGAGGGAGGTGTTAATTAGGGACCTCTATGGTATTGGTCAATTTCTATTTCTAAAGCTTACAGTGCTTATGAGTATTATTCTTTCATCCATTATACACATCGTTTTATATGCATGAGAGAGCATATACATATTTTTTTCAAGTTTTAAAGCAGGGATTAGGGACACAGGGGCCTGAGGCACAGGAAGGATTCCTGGTCCCCAGCATCGCAAGGGTGGCCCAGGTGTCACCTAGCACCCCTGGACCAGAAAGTTTCGCATCCTGGAGTCCTAGCATGTACCTCTCTGACTGGATTGGCCAGGAGTGGACCCCAGGCCGCCCTACAAAAGTTTGAGGTCGGGAAAATTCAGCGATTTCTAAATGACACCGGGACCTAACTGAGCAGGAGCCCACATCAGTCCGAACATGGCGTGCCCCGTCTAATTTCAGAGCGAATGCAACCCTAATTTAGGGACGATCGTTTAAAAGGCTTTGTGTCCCGTGTGGGGCTTTCAAGCAAGATCGAGTGACGGCTGCCATTTCTGACTGAACCAGTAGGTGGAACTGCCGGCAGCCGTGCCTCTCGGTTGCCTAACAAACCCAAGCGGCTTGAACCTTCCGTCTCAATCTGCAGGAACAAAGTATCTCTTACTCACTTCGAGATGATCGGAAAGGGCAACATGCACACTGGGGGCCCGAGACCGTCCCCCCGTACCGCACAGAAACTGCAAATAAAGGCGCGCGCCCTGAGCCCCTTTCGGGAAGGAGGAGGAGGAGGGAGGAAGAGAAGGAGGGCGCCTTGGCGAAGGAAGAGGAAGGGGGTGACAGGGAGGAGCTGGCCTGGGTTCTCCCGCGCTGAGCATCAGTCGACCTCTTTAGACCGGGTGGGTCCCGCTGCGAGATGCGGAAGCCCGAGCCCCCCGGCAGCTGCGGGCGCGGCTTGGCCTGGATGCGGGGGCCCGGGGGGGGCACATTCCTGCGAAGCCCGCACCCGCCTCTGCCCTTCCTCAACTTCCTTCGCCCCGCAGGCCTACCTCACGTCTCCCCACCTCCCTCCTCCTTTGTTTTCCCGCCCGCACCGGATCGCATTTTGCGAAGGTGAAGCCGACCCAAGCGCGAAGTCCGAAAAGCCACATTCCAAGTTAAAAGGCAGAGCGGCGGGCCCCGCGCCGCCTGCTCTCCCGCAAGCCCTTACCTCTTCATGTTTCCACAGGCCCCTACATCTAACTTGGGTAAATAGGCTGCGGACTTCATGTCCCAGAAGTCTGTGCGGCGGGCCTGGGGCGGACTCGGCGGGGGGCGGAGTGTGGATTTCTGGGATTTGTAGTGCAGCGAAGCCAAAGAAACGGAAAGAGGAAGTTCAAGAACCTCGAGGAAGCCTCGTAGAACTCTGTGATTGTTTCTCTTGAATTGCGTCATGAGATGAAAGCAACAAGGAAAATCTCCAGCACATAAATCTTGGAGTCACCCCTTGACTCTCATCCAGTACTGCTTTTGCTTTCAAGGACTTTCTCTACCTATGGTTCCAGTTCGAGGCTTTGGTGCAGTCCTTACTCTGCGTCAGAGGAAAAAGAAACAAGTTTGCAACACTTGCACTTGTGGTGCCCTTTAACTGTAACAGAGGCTTACCAGAGAGTGTACTTCCACATACTGAGTGACAATAAGCAATCCATTTTGCATACAGACCTATTAATTGTTTTGTTTTGGGTTAGTTGTGCTAAAAAGAGTGTCTAGAATAGTGGTTACGGACATGAGCTCTTAACTTTCTAGAAATGGAAATGAAAATGTCCTAAAGTACATGGACACAATATATAAAATATATTTCACATAATTATGAGTGAGGTGGAACCTTCAATGTACATTGACCATAAAAAAATCCATACTACAAAAAACTGCCAGGGTCCTTAAAAACACATAAAATATTATAATCTGTCAAAGGCAAAGGAACCACAAACCTGTGGACTATTAAATACAATAACCTGGATTGAACCGGGAACATAGAAAGGGCCGGGGTAGAAACTAACGGAATGTGAATAAGATTCATTAGTAATGGTATATATAAAGATGCGAACACTATGGGAAACTGAGTGGAGATACACAGAAGTCAAAACTATACACCCTTCTGTAAATCTAAAACCGAGAGAGAAAGAGAGAGATGAGAGAGAGAGAGAGAGAGAGAGAGAGAGAGAGAGAGAGAGAGAGAGAGAGGAGATAGGAGAGACTGTGTTAGGGGCTGGGGACATAGGACGGTGGGTGGGGTACTTGCTTCTAATGCAGATGACCTGCTTTCTATCTCCCGCATCCCATGTGTTCCCCCAAGAACCAGCAGGAGTAATTTCTGAGCATTGCTGGGTATGATCCATAAAAGGCCCTCCCGTTGATCGTTGATTTGCTCGAGCGGGCCCAGTAACGTCTCCATTGGAGACTTTGTTGTTACTGTGTCTGGCATATCGAATACTCTCGGTAGCTTGCCGGGCTCTCCGAAAGGTAAGGATCCATAAACAAAATAAAAAATCAAAGTTTTCTTTTAAACAGGATAGAAACATAAGTTTGCCAACACACTTGTTTTATTAAGTTTGTAAGGAGATAGGCACCTTGAATACATTACTGGTAAAACTATAAATTGATACGATCTCTATGAAAAACAACCTTAGGGTTCAACTGAAATAATGCTCATTCTCTTTGAAGCAGCAATCCAAAAATCTATTAATATGTCAAGAATGTATGTGTATAAATACATATATTATACTGTAATATTTCTGATTAAAACAAAATATTACAAAGCACTTAATATCCACAAATGTGAAATATTCATTTAATGGGAAATTACATAGCAGTACCAAAGATGACAAAGCACACAATGGACTGAAACTGAACAATCTCTAAAATTTGGTTTACACAGCACCCAAAAGGAGAGAAAACAAAAGGGAATTCCCTTCCACAGAGGCAGGGTGGGATGGGAGGGATGGGGGGGTGGGAGGGATAGTGGGATTAGTGGTGGTGGAGAATGGGCACTGGTGGAGGGATGGGTACTTGATCATTGTATAACTGAAACCCAAGCACAAAAATTTGTAAGTCTATAACGTACCTCATGGTGTTTCACTAATAAAAATTTTTTAAAAAATAAAAAATAAATACCTAGTAGCAAAAAATAAAATAAAATAAAATAAAATTTGGTTAATACAACAAGAAATATCTGAACACTGTGTACATTATGGTTCCATTTTAGCAAAAGAGTGGGACTGTGTGTGTGTGTGTGTGTGTGTGTGTGTATGTGTTACTTATGTATAGAATGTCTCTGGGAAAAAGTGGTAAGTGAATGCGTCTGGGTAAGGCAATTGGATGGTGAGGGGCAAGCATGAAGAAGCTCTTTACTGTATATCTTTTGGTACCAATTTGAATTTTGAATCACATGACTATATTAATCAATAAATATTCTGATTAATGTGAATGCTTATTATATCACAAAACATCAAACAAAGAAAAAAGGCCAGTGTTTGGGATTCATACTGCTTGGATTTGATTCCTAGTTTCTAACTATGATGATATAGCCTAGTATACAATCCCTAGACACAAACTTTTAATTTGACAAATCACATGACTATGAATTTCAGTAAGTTTTCTTAACTGGCCTAGGTCATTTTACAACTCTGTGAAATGGATAATACCTCAGAATAGGGTAACTGTAAAGTAATACCCTAATATCTGGTATTAAAGTCAGTTGATATTATCTTTCATCACAAATCACAATCAGAAGTCATCCTGTTATTCGTCGATTGCCTCGAGCAGGCCCCAGTAACATCTCCTTCATCCTAGCCCTGAGATTATATTCAAGGCCGTTTAGGAGAATGAGACCCATCATTGTTACTGGTATTTGGCATATTGGCTACGCCACGGGGAGTTTGCCAGACTCTGCCGTGTGGGCAGGCTACATTCGGTAGCCTGCCAGTTTGTCTAAAGTAGGAATGAGATAATAAGATGTCATAATAAGATGTCACACGGCCGCGAATGCAGCCGCATGGTTCGGGGAGCTGGTTTTTATAGTCTCTGAGTCTTGGCCGCTGATGGGATTACATGGCGCCAGGGGGCCAGTTGATGGGTGTGAACCTGTGTGGCTTTGTCTCTCTGCCAGTACCTTCATGTGTGCGGAGAGTGGTCTCAGCATGGTGGTGGCTGGTCCTGGAGGTCTTCGGCTGCTGGAGCCCTGGTCGGGGCGGGGAGGAAAGCTCAACCCGCTCCCCTCCAACGGGCCCCGGTGAGGACAGCCAGGCGCGGGGATAGGAGACTGCACTGTTCTCTTCTGGGAGCTGGTTTTTATAGTCTCTGAGTCTTGGATTATTATTACCCCATTATCTTTCATGAGCAAAAATATTCCCAAGTTATCCAATAGGTTAAGAATTATCCAGACTTATACAATAACACTATATTGCTATGTTGAAGTTAGAGGATAAAATCAAACAGTAGCTACTGAGAGACACTGCACTTTTGTTCCTAAGGACTATTAACATTAAAGATGTCATTGAAGCATTAGTTATCCAAAACTTGCCATGCAAAATAGTTGTACCCTTGAAGTACACAGGTATATGAATATAAATATAATAGTTTGTGGTTCTGAAAAAGAACCACAGACAGAATGCATGCATAAACAAAATGTGGGTCATAGCATAATCTGCATGGACCAGTTAAATCCTGTATGATTGTGGGTACGATTCCTTTTGTTCAGCAAAACTGTTCAATTGAATTACTCAGTGAGGAAATGGAAAAATATACTATGTTTGCTAGAGTGTTGTCTGAGAAGGTAGTAAAGGGAGGTTTACCCTCACAAATGCTATACAGATCATCTAATGAACTTGCATTTGTAAAATATATATCCTATTGGTATTGCAGTGATAAACACTACATTACAAATCCACTAGGTGGAATGAGTAGAGAATAAATGGCTAAAAAGATATAGGACTGCAGTAGAATTGCCACTGGAAAGCAAGGTCATAAGGAAGTACTTTATGTACTTACGTATAACTGGAATCAACCTGAATGGTAGATACCAGGGGACCAACAGTCAGAAAATTGTCCTTAAAAGGAAAACCAGGCTATTTCTAACTCTGCCAAACTTATTAACTGTGGAATAATAGCCATTCCATTTCCCACAGCATCCCTCTCCCTGATTTAAAGGATATCAGACTGCACAAAAAGCTTTGAGACTTCTGGATGTTATTCCCAGGCACAGATATCTTATCATGAGGAAATTTTGCACCGAGAATAATTTATGACAAACTGAAAAAATATACCTCATTTATCTTCCTGACAATTTAACAAGGTTAGTTTAATTAAGGTAGAAGTTTCTCCATAACATTCTTTCAGGATTTGTCCTTTTAGGTACTTTGTTTCCAGCACACTTCTGACGAATACATTATAAAGCAATTATAATTTCCAGATACGGAAGAAGAGGCTAAAGTCAAAAATCTTCTCTTGAAGATGGATAGCATCACTCATCTAATACATAGAATAAACAATTCCACATGTCTTTCAAATGCCCCAAATGAAGTAGTGCAAAAACTGCTTTAAAAATATAGCATCATTTTCAAAGGACAAAGCAAAAAAGTAGATAAGCACTGGGCAAGAGTCAATTCTAGGTTGAAGAATTCTCCTGCACCTAACTTCTTTGCTGGTATGCAACAATGGCAGGAGGGACTCAAGACTCCAATATCATTACTGGGGAAAATTGGGTATTTTTGACTTTCATATGAAGTTATTTAACAGTATGATGCCTTTTAACACAAATTAAAAAGAGAATCGAAAGAAACGTCAACAATTTTGTTCAAGGCTCAAGATTTCAGACAATACACCAACTTCTGCTACTAAATACTACAATCTCAAGGCCGACCTAGGCTGCCACAACGAAGGAAGACAAAAATGATCGTCTGTACTTTCAATGCACGTACGCTAGCATCAGATGCATCCATCGAGGACCTGATGGTACAAGCGCGAATGATCAAGTACGACATCATTGGTCTGACCGAGACAAGAAGACATGAATCTCACCATGCCGTTTTCGACACTGGAGAAGAATTGTTCCTCGGAACATGCGATAAAAGAGGTGTTGGAGGCGTCGGTGTCCTTGTCAACACAAACTTGGCCAAGAGCATTGATTCATTCGAATGCCTAACAACCCGAATCGGACGTTTACATTTGAATAGATGTGGCTCACTGCCTGCAGTTTCTATCTTCGTTGTCTACGCACCAACATCTCATTATGATGAAAGAGAAATCGAGAAGTTCTACATGGAGCTAGAGAAGTTCTATAAAGAAGACCACACCTTCTACAAGATCATTGTGGGTGATTTTAATGCCAAGATAGGACCGAGAAGATCAGCTGAAGAACTTCACATCGGGACCCATGGCCTAGAATGGAACGAACAGGGTGAGAGACTGTCTGAGTTCATCATGTCGACCAAGACCATTCATGGTAACTCACAGTTCCAGAAGGCAGAATCTAAACGATGGACATGGGAGTCTCCCGGTGGACGATTCCACAACGAAATAGACCACATCATATTCAATCGACGGTTTTGCCTGACTGATGTCGCTGTTGTCCCAAAATTTCGAACGGGATCGGACCACCGTCTCCTTCGTGCAAAATTCTACTTCACAGAGCGGGGAGAAAGGGCTGCAAAGTTCAAAAAGAGAACTCCCAGAACGACCACCAACTGGGAACTCTTTGGTACTATTGCGGCAACATGGGAAGATGCCATTGTTGACAACATTGACGAGGAATACGATCGACTGGTTCAGCACCTCCATGAATGTGCGAGGAACGCCAAGAGAGAGATAGCCACAAAAAGTCGCCTATCTTCGAAAACTCTTGAGCTAATTCGCCAGCGTGGTTTGGCGCATGCCTCAGGCAACCGCAAGCTAACGTCCGAGCTTGCAAAGCAGTGCAGAGATGCGATCAAGGAAGACCTCAAAGAGAGAAGAGCAGAAGTACTGGTAGATGCGGCAGAAGCCGGGAAAAGTATTCGTAACGCCCGCCTGTCCTTCGCCAACTATAAGACCAAGATGACTGCCCTCCGACGTCCTGATGGATCCATCACATCCTCCAGAACGGCAATGGAGAAGATTATCCATGACTTCTACTCAAATCTCTTCCATAGCCATGTCCACTTGCCGACATACCAAATTCCACAGGATGGGTATGTCGTTCCCAATGTTCTCCCTTCCGAAATCCGACACGCCATTTCGTCAGTAAAGAAGCAAACAGCACCCGGCCCAGACAAGGTCAGACCTGAACACCTGAAGAACCTGCCGTCAGTACTCATCAATACACTGGCTCGGCTCTTCACTCGCTACCTGTCTGAATGCAAGGTTCCATCTCAATGGAAAACCAGCAGGACCATACTACTGTTCAAGAAGGGAGACATCCATGACATTGGCAACTATCGCCCGATCTGCCTATTGTCTGTCATCTACAAGTTGTTCACTCGAGTCATCCTGAATAGGATTGGCAGAACACTAGATGAAGGACAACCATGTGAGCAAGCAGGGTTCCGCAAAGGATTCAGCACCATCGACCATATCCACACGATAACCAAACTCATTGAGGTTTCTCGGGAGTTCAAGATGCCGCTCTGCTTAACGTTCATTGATTTAAAGAAGGCCTTTGATTCTGTTGAGACGGAAGCGGTCATTGAAGCCCTAGCCAATCAGGGCATTCAAGCCCAATACATCAGGATCCTCCGTGAGCTGTATTGCGGATTCACTACCAGGATCTCACCATTCTACAAAGAAGTGATCGTTGATGTCAAGAGAGGGGTGCGGCAGGGTGATACCATTTCACCAAAACTCTTCAGTGCCACCCTCGAGAACATCATGCGACGACTGGAATGGGAAGGAATGGGAGTGAAGATAGATGGTCGGCAACTACACCACCTCCGCTTTGCTGATGACATTGTTTTAATAACACCAAACATCAGCCAAGCGGCACAAATGCTGGCCGACTTTGACCGTGAGTGTGGAAAGGTAGGACTACAGCTGAATCTTACGAAGACAATGTTTATGAGAAACAGCCTTGTTCCTGACGCCCCATTCGCTCTCAATGGAACGACCATCTCCGAATGCAACAGCTATGTGTACCTAGGTCGAGAGGTCAACATGACAAATGACCTGGCACCCGAGCTGCGCAGGAGGAAGAGAGCGGCTTGGAACGCCTTCAAGAACGTCGAAGAAATAGCTAAGAGGACGAAAAACCTCCGGCTCCGGGCACATCTCTTTGATTCCACTGTTCTTCCTGCATTAACATATGCCTCAGAGACCTGGGCCCTACGCAAACAAGATGAGAACGCCATTCAGGTCTCCCAAAGAAGAATAGAAAGAGCTATGCTTGGAATATCACATTTCACTCAAATGAGAGAACGAATCCGGAGTTCTGACATCCGTCGACGATCAAGGATCAGGGACGCTGTCTCATTTGCCAAGGTGTCGAAAATCAGATGGGCTGGTCACGTAATGAGATTTAAAGACGACCGTTGGACTAGAGCTGTTACTGATTGGATTCCACGGGATGTCAAGAGACCGCGTGGCCGCCCACCTACCAGATGGTCAGACTTCTTTGTCAAGGTCATGAACGATCGGTTTGAGGCCCTCCATGTTCCCGGAGCGAAGAGATGCCATTGGGCTACACTAGCACGCGACAGGGACAAATGGAGACGTTACTGGCGCCCGCTCGAGCAAATCGACGACTAACGGGAAGTTAAGTGATTAAGTGATTAAGTGTCATCAAAACTGTGTAAGGCCTTTGGTTTAATCCCTAATGCCATGTGTCCCTCCAAAAACTGCCAGATGTTATATATCTATATATATGTATATATAATATATATATATATAGAGAGAGAGAGAACTTCAAGTGCAAAGTTGACAGGAGTATTAAAATCTTTATTTTACTAGGGACCTTTACATTAAACACTTGATTGGTAGTGAAAAGGCATGAAGTAATCACAAAACTTTAGAGAAATGAAAACCAGCTTTATTTTACCAGTTGAATAAATCTTAATATGGTCCAACTCTTTCATTTTATGGACAAAAGACAATGCATCTGAGCTGTCTTTTCCCCTAGCATGTGTGGCTGGCCTCCAAGCCATGGAGCAAAATTCCTGGTACTAATCTCGGCCATTCTTGGGTGTTAATCTACTATTTTGTTACTTTATGTTCCTCAGATAGAGAAGGGAGCACCAAATAAAGGGTGTTGGGAGGATCCTCCCAGGATGGGAGAAGCATGCTGAAAATAGACTATAGACCAAACATGATTGCCACTCAATGCCTCTTTTGCAAACCACAACACCCAAAAGGAGAGAGAGAACAAAAGGGAGTGCCCTGCCACAGAGGCAGGGTGGGATGGGGGAATCGGGGGTGGGAGGGACACTGGGATCTATGGTGGTGGGAAATGGGCACTGGTGGAGGGATGGGTATTTTATCATTGTATAATTGAAACCCAAGCACAAAATTTGTAAGTCTACAACTGTACTTTATGGTGTCTCACTAATAAAAATTAAATAATAAAAAAAGACAATGCATCAAATGAAAGTATTGGCTGTTATGCAAGAATAAGACTCATCCAGTGTTTATGACAAACTGAAAAAAATATGTCAACGTACCTTATCTTATACTGAATGGTGAGCTTATGCAGACTGATTATAAGCTTTGAATCCCAAAAACCAACAGAAAAAAATCTTCATCTAGATTATAAGAAGAATAATATTGACTTCAAACTTTGAGAAAACTTGGGATTATATTCAAATGCTGTATTTATAGAAATCATCCACATAATTCAATGGTGCCTACAATATTTCATACTTTAAAATTATGAGTAATGGGGCCGGAGCGACAGCACAGCGGGGAGGGCGTTGGCCTGGCACGTGGCCGACCAGGGTTCGATCTCCGGCATCCCATAGGGTCCCCCGCGCACCGCCGGGAGTGATCCCTGAGCGCAGAGCCAGGAATCAGCCCTGAGCATCGCTGGTACGGTTCAAAAAACTACAATAAATGGAAAAAGAAAAAAATTTTTAAAAGGTTTCAAAAATAAAATAAAATTATGAGTATTAACCAAAACTTACCTAATGAAAAAGCTACCTGAGAAGTTTTGGTATAAAAAAGAGACCATGATAAATTCTGATATTTTTCAATAATAGGAAGAAAATCAGTGACAATTATTTAAAAAATTATTTCTTCTGTAATAGAAACTCTTCAGGATAGTCATCAGTCAATACAACAGAAATTCCGCCCAGCCAATAGGGAAGCAACCAAGTTATAGAAACTAAAAGAACTCTTAAGCAGTGGGTTTTGTACTTTTATTATTTTTATTTTTTAAAACATCATATATGACATAGGTGAAACAAGAAATAGAAGAGATTACACTGTTACTCAGTGAATAAAAATGTTTTCTTGAAGCTTACAGATACAGCCACTTTAAACCACATAGTAAAAAAATTTTAAAATGTGACATCTGAACATAAAAAATGAGTTGTTGTTACTTTAAGTCTTAACTCCTCTGACTTTCTACATCATATACTTTCTGTAACTCAGAACAAACATCCTTGTATTGTTTATATTGTTTTCATAGAGACAGGCATTGAATTTCAAACCATACAGTTCTTTGAGGATTGAGACTTTACAATGTCTAGTGCTATATGTTGACTGTAACAGATACAAAAGTAAAGGCAAAGTGGCTTTTATTTTTTGGCAAATATTTCTACAGGATGTAGATAAGGTGAAAAGGACAATTTATGCCAGCAGCAAGATATGAAGTCTGCTAGATTAATATATAAATTCATTTTACATCTAACAGTTAACATCTACCAGGACAAAAGGGCTAATATAGTGTGGATAAACTAATACTTAAAGCCAAGCTACAGTATAACTCTCAACAGCAAAATATTTAAGAGGAAGCAATACAAACACATATTGCAATCAAAGATCAAATAGTACCTAAGTACTATTTGGTTTAACATCAAAACTTGTAAGAAATGTATATTCCAAAAAAACCAAGTCGAATATACATGCTCATTCAATCAAAAGAAATTCTGGCATTGCGGCTTTGCTCCATAGCTTGATGTTCTGCAAGAATCTGTGATACCTCTTCTACCTTTCGTTGGAGAATGCCTATAGATGAAGAAAGTCACACATTACTAACATATATAAAAATATGGAGTATTTCGTTACTGGAAAAACAATTTGTATTGTCTCTTCAACATACAATTTATTAATTTGGGAGATTTTCAGCCACACCCAGAGTTGTTCAGTTGCTCTGTTCTCAGGGATTAAGCCTGATAGGGGTCAGGGGAAAAAATATAGTGCCAAGGACAGAACATAGGTTGGCTGCATGCAAATTAGTGCTTTACCTGATATACTATCTTTCTGGATCATCAACATCATATTATTTATAACATTATATTTCATTTTACTAGATTTAATTATTAGGTAATACAGAAAGAAGACATTTGTCTATCTGTAAACTATGAGAACAATGAACAAGACTGCTGTTTTTGATCCACTTTCCCTGGTTTTCACACAAGAAAGTTTCCTTGACATTTATGTTTTGTTGACATGCTAATTATCTTTATCTCACTATAGCCTAAAAGTGTCTTTTTTATACTAAAAGGATAGTCATTAAAATGATAGCATCAATTGAGGTAGGTCTTGCTACCTATAAGGAAATCATATTGAGTATATTCACATTGCTATTCCTTTCAAATAATAATTTAACTTGGTAACCCTAAAATTTACTAAGGAGCAGAGCAACATTAAATACCATTAATTTAACTATATAAAATAGAACTTTTCACAAAAAATAATATGCATTTTATATTACTAAGTTTATTTTTTATTTTATTTTTATTACTGTTTATACTAAGTTTATTATTATAAACTAATGTGATCACTTGCTTTTGAGTATATTAGTACTTATCTTGTATTCATTACTGTTCACATTAATGGTCAATTCAGTAAGCATAACTAGTATCAAAGATATAACTGAAGAAAAATTATGAAAAATATTAACAGTTGGAAAAACCCCAATGTGATTTTCCCTTTTCAAATATAATTCTTTATCTTACAATATATAGGCATCTATGAGATTCCAACTGAAGAACACGTGCTTGAAATGGTAGCTGTCTACTTGAAAGGCTAGAAAAAATAGTGTAAATAGAACCCAGGCAAAATAATCTGTCCTTATTGTAATAATGTGAAGTGCAACTTTACTCTAAAAAATTTTCACCACTAATAGAAAGACAAATAAGCACAATAAAAAAGACACGGAGATGTTGCAACAAATGTCAACATCTCCACAATTTACGTAATTTGCTGATTGATACATACTAAATGCAAAGGGAACATTTATAACAATTTTTAAAGTAATAAAATCCAAAAATATAATTGATCATTATTAAGACAACCTTACTGTAAACGTACTGCTTTTTTATGCATTCTAAAACCATTTTTGTATTAACATACTTTAATATTTTGGTTATTTCATTCTTTAAAAAGAACAACTCTACCTAGACACAGCTCTGGTCTCATTAAATGCATCACTGAGAAGATTCCCCAGGCCTATTATGTGATTTTTAATTCTAGAAGTAAAATGTCAGTAAGGTGGGGGGAGGGGATATGCCATGTACATTTTGACATTATTGAAAAATAATCATAGCTGAAGTTATAGAATATGCATTATGTTGCTTGCTTTGTATTGCATCACCCATGATTTGAATCACTGGTACCACATATGGTTGCCTGAGCATGGTCAGGAGTTATTCGTGAACACATAGCCAGGAATAGCCACTTTGCACTGCTATATGTGGCTGTAAACTCAAAAAAAAATATGAAAATAACCGGTTTTGACAATATTAAAATGAAATTAAGAAAGAAATTTAATTCACAGAAGCATAAAAAAATTAACACACTTGAGTCCCAACTTACCAAATGAAATACAAGACCTGTCTGCCAAAAACTGTAATACAGTGCTAAGAGTAAAAAAAAAAATCTAAACAAATGAAAATATAATCTATGTTCATAGAAAGACTCAATAATGTTAAGATAGCAATTCGCTTTAAATTGACCTAGAGATTCAATGTAATCCCTGTGAAAATTCCAGGAGAGTATTTGTGTAGACACTAGATGAGATTTAGACAGGCTTACTTTAAAATATACAAGGATAGGCAAAACAGAATAGTCAAAATAATCCTGAAAAAGAATAAATTGCTGGAATTACTCTACCCAATTTTTAAACTTATTACAATGCTACAGTAATCCAAAGAGTGTGGTGTTGACATTGGATGGTCGTGATAGACAGAAAAAAACTTTAGGAATAAAACCTTGTACTTGGGTGGGATGCGGGGATGAGGGGTGGTAGGGATACTGGGATCCGTGGTGGTGGGAAATGGGCACTGGTGGAGGGATGGGCATTTGATCATTGTATAACTGAAACCCAAGCACAAATATTTGTAAGTCTACAACTGTACCTCATGATGTCTCACTAATAAAAAAATAAAAAATAAAAATTAAAAATTAAAAAACCTTGTACTTATGGTAAATTCATTTCTGACAAAGATCAAGGCAATTCAGTGGAGGAAACCAGAGATTTTTCCCAACACATGGCACTAGAACAACTGGAAATCTACATGCAAATGAAGTTGAACCCTTACTTCTATATACAAAAGTCAAGGCAAAGTAGATTATCACTCTAAATATAAAGGTTAAAACTGCATTTTGAAAAACGCACAAAAGTCTATTGACTAAGTAGATAAAAACTGTGATATGTCCATACACTGGAATGCTACACAGTGAAGAAAACGCATAAAGCACTAATGTATTACAACATGGTGAACCTTGAGAATATTATGCTAGGAGAGTGGAACAATAATACAGCAAGTAGTGTGCATGTGTATTGCACGCAGCTGACCTGGGTTCTAACCTCAGCACCCCAAGTCTTTCTAGGACTGATCCCTGAGCACAGAGCAAGGAGTAAGCCCTGAGCACCACCACCTTTGACTCCACCCAAAAACATCCAAACCAAAAATGAGTGCAGTTTGATATATATATATATATATATATATATATATATATATATATATATATATATCAGTAGCCAAACAAACTTATTTATTTTTGAGGACAGGGTGCCTGAGTAGGAATTCTTATTTTATTTTATTTTTCTCTACAACCATCTGAATACATTTCATGGGTCCTTTTTCTCTTTTCTTTTCCCCTTTTCTGTTCTGGGCCACTCCCAAGAGTGCTCAAGGGTTACTACAGGTCCTGTGCTCAGTAATCACTCCTGGCAGGATTGAGGGAATATATGGGACACTGGGGATTGAATCTGGGTTGACCACGTACAAGGCAAGTGCCCTACCCACTGCACTATCTCTCTACTCCCCCCAAAAATTTAAAATGGGTACTGGATCTTAAGTTTATGCCACCTAGTTCTAAAGATATGAAAACTACTAAGACATAATCTCTCTCATTAAGTAGCTCAAGTTTCAGTTCATCAGATAGATGTGTAAATTAATAACTTCAATATCACACGACAAATTCTGAGGATATGTGTGTAGAACATGCATTAGAATGATAAATCAAGGAATGCTTTATTGAAGACCTGATTCTTGAACTTCATCCGAACATTGAAGCAGCTAAGTGGCAGACGATAGGGAGGAGTATGCCAGACAGAATCAACTGAACATCCAAAAATACGGGAGAGGAAAGAAAGTCATCTTGAGAATCTATAAATACTGGTGCTTAAGAATCCATAAATACTTCTTGAAAGTAGTAATGCAAGCAAGAAATGAGGCTAGAGAAACTGGTAGAGGTTAAATTATAGAGGGGACTTTATATATTATGCAGAGAAACAACTTGTCACCAGGTAATGGAAACTCCAGAAGGGCTTTAACAAAGAGATGATTAGAACATAGAATATCACTGAGTATATATACACAATGGAGTACTATGCAGCTCTAAGAAAGAACAAAATCAAGCAATTTTCTGTGTCACTTATGGAACTAAAGGATCTCATGCTGAGTGAAGTCATTCAGAAGGAAAGGAATACATATTGAATGATCTCTCTCACATATGGGGCTTAAAATTATACAGCAAGGTAGCAACAATGGGCCAACAGCAGCACATTGGGAGAACTGATCCATACAACCAAGTTTGTTGGGGGTATTTAAAGGAAGGTATTCCAGGATTCTTGGGAAGGAAGTTGGGTACACTGGTGATGGGATGTGGTGTTGAAAATATGGACATGGAAAACCTTTGTTAACAGTATTGTAAATAACAGAATCTCAAACAATAAATTAAAGGCCCTCCCGTTGATCATTGATTTGCTCGAGCGGGCCCAGTAACGTCTCCATTGGAGACTTTGTTGTTACTGTGTCTGGCATATCGAATACTCTCGGTAGCTTGCCGGGCTCTCCGAGAGGGGCGGAGGAATCGAACTCGGGTCAGCCATGTTGGCTGCATGCAAGGCAAACGCCCTACCCGCTGTGCTATCGCTCCAGCCAACAATAAAACCAGTTAAAAATAAAAAAGAACACAGAATATCTCGACATAAAATTCACTCTGGCAATAGAGTGAAAGTAACCAGAACTGAGACAGAGAGTGAGAAAAGGCCATCAGAGAAGGTCTCCAGTTAAAGATTTAAACACAAGCATTTACCACCGCTTCATCCTAAAAGACCTATAAATAGTAAAGACATTTTTATGAGAACAAAGAGTGTAAAACAACAAGGACAAAAGTGACAAGATCAAAACTAAAAATCATAACTAGATTTTGATTATAGAACCCTCCAAATGATATGGAATGAGTCAAACTAATTCAAAGTTGGACTGGAAAAAAGATTATTAATGATTCAAATGCAGAACCCTCCTTTCCTTTACATCCTATGTCTGGATAATTCTTTCTACCCAAGACCATCAGATGTTTCTTTATCTGATGAGTCAACAAGATGAGCTCTGAATCATGGACACCACGCATAGGTAAGAACAAGGAATCTGTATCAAGAACAAAGATTCTGTGAAAGCATACCAAGTTAATTAAGTGAAAGTCTGCATGCTGAACACTGAGAACCCAAATCCTTTCTCTAACAGCTTCTAGAAAAGTCAGTGGCTTTCAAT